GGCCCCTTGAGGCTGTGGAGAAGGCCCATGAGCCGCTTTCATGTGGAGGCCCTCCAGAAGGGTCTTGTCTGGGCCGCGGCTTGGAGCCTCGAATGGTGTCTCCCCGCTCCTGGCTCAGCTTGCCAGGGTCTAATCTCCTTGGGGAAGCGGAGGCTGAAGGCAAGAGTCCAGGGCTGAGGTCTCCCTGCCGCTATCCCAGCGTTTCCCCCATGGGCCCTTCCACAGGCACGCTCTCCTGGGCTTGGGGAGAGTTTCTGGTGCCTGGCACCGCTGCACTGACCTCCAGCTCTCTGGAATTTTTGTAGGTGCTGAGACGCAGAGACCACTGGGGGAGTCACACTAACAATCCCAGGGAATCTTCTATACCACGGGCCTCCGAGCTTCTCTGGATCTCAGCCCCCCGCAGGACCCCGAGGACCATGGGGGAATGGCAGAGGGGTGTCCAGGGATACAACCCTGCCTATAATCCCGAGACCTCAGCGACCTCCAGGGCAATGCTATCAGGGTCATCTCAGGTGTTCAAAGACGCCGATGGCCTATCAAGAGTGCTGCGACTTGACTTCTTCCCATGTCCTCCAGATGCAGGGGGCCTCTGTGAACTTCAGAATGAAACCCTCAACTAGGTCCCGTTACTCATGTGCGTTTATAAGACACATCCTGGGGGACAGCTGCAAGTTTCACCCTTGAGCGCCATCAGGGAAGGGAGCAGAGGAGGCCTTTGCCTTTCCTGCCTGTAAAGTAGACCGGGGAGCGGCCGCAAGCAGGAAGACAGACCCAGTGCAAGATCAGTGCCACCTTCAATCTTGCCAGCTGCCCTTAGCCTGGGCTTTTCCATGGAGAATATTCCTCTGCCCAGGAAAATCATTATCAGAGCGGCAGCCACAGCAGCAACTGTTCTCTGGCCCGAGAAGAAAGATTCCAGGGAAGAAGAATTCGTTTTCTCTTTTCTTACCAAAAACAAACAAACAAACAAAAAAAAACAAAACCAGAGCCCAGGAGAGGACATGGGGTCTGAGCACCGGGATGGTCGGGCCCCATCCTGCCTGCCAGCAGCTGAGTCCTGAGAAGCCATGAGAGAGCTGCGTGCGGCTTCCTCTGGGCTTGCTCTGCCAGGACATCATTTGTTGATTCTAGAGCCCCGGCCCTAGCTCATGACTTCCTCCCTGGTTGCCATGGCCCCGTACAGAAAACACAGCAAACTCCTGGCCCTGGGCAGCTCATTTATTTCAAATATTCCTTGCAGCTGGAATCCAACCATGTTTGGGTGTCTGGACTGGAGCATGAACTAATTGCTCTGTCTTCAGCCCCCTCCCCAGCTCCCCGGCATAGTTTATGGTTCAGTAAAGCCCACATTCCTCATCTCGCTGAGGGGTGGGAAGGCGGAGGGAGGGTGGGGACAAGGACGCTTCCCATCTATGGCCAAACCCTGAGAGCTGCTACCTGCTGAAGGCAGGGGATTAATTACAACCACATGGGCCAAGTCTGCACAGATGGTTTTATTAATACCACTCCCTTCAGCACAAGCCCTGCTCCCCCAGAAGGCTCCTGGCAGTACAAAGGCCCCGATTTTCCCCGAGCCTCCCCCTCCCCGAGTGCCTGACCCCTCTCCTTCCCTGCCGCCCCCTTCAAAGGAAGTCTGAGCTCCAACTGCAACCCAGACATGAACTCCAACCTAAAAATAGCTTCAGACCACCCCACTCCTCCGACCGCGTCTGGGACAGGCATCTGGGGTCCCCCTTCCTAATACAACCCCTTGGCCTTTGGAGACTTTACCTGGGAAGCAAGATCATTTATCGGGAAGTTGGTTTAGGAATGTTTGGTCCATCCTCAAAGAAAAAGTCCCAACCCGGGAACTGCCATTTCCCAGAAATAAACGAGCTTTAAAGTGTTTGTTTGCACGCTTGCTGAAAGGCCAGTTCCTGCTCTGAGAGCCACACATCACCCCTACTCCCTCCTGTAAGATAGACACCGCCATGTTCTGGAGGTGCATCCAAGGCCACAAGGCTAATATGTGAATCCAGGTCTGACGCAGGTGTCCTGAGCTCCTCACGCAGCCAAACCCCGACACACTGGAAGAATTTCCCTCTACCAAGCAACTTGCAAGAGAAAGAACCCGCATGGCCCCAAATAGTGGCATCCGGACTCGCTCAGGCAAGGTCACTTGGGGAGTTTTGAAACATGCAAGAAACACTGATGTGATCCCTCTCAGGTGGGAGGGAATCTGCCCGTTAACAAACCCCTCCCAGGTGCTGCTGATGGAGGAGGTCTGCGGACAGCTGGTTAGAAGGCTCTTAGAGAAAGGGACATGGACTCTGGGCCAGAGGTCTTGGGTCCTCAGGCCAGGCTCTTTGTATGCACAGCCAGATCCTGACATGCTTTCAGGATGAAGCAGCCCCACCGCAAGCTGGATGCCGTCTTGCTCATTCTTTGGAAACGAGTCATGACATGTGATCGGATCTCGTGCATTCCTTGACTATTCATTTGATCAAGCATTGATCCTCTAAAGGAGCTGGAGTTTCCTGTCCTTTCTGCTGGGGGCTCTGCCCACAACTGCTGGCAGAACAGGTTCACTCAGCAAAGCTCATTAAGTGTCACTGTGGACTCAGGCCCGGGGACACAAAGACAAAGGAAAGAACTTCTCCTTCCACTGAGCACCCGGGGCGCCGCCATGGCTCTGCTTCTAAAAGCACCATGGTCAACTCAAGCTTTACAACCACACAAATGAACCAGAAACACTCACTAGTGCACAGAAGCACTTTATTTCTTCTTTTTTAAAAAGAGACCAGGTCTTGTTCTGTTGCCCAGGTTGGAGTACAGTGATGCCATCACAACTCATTGCAGCCTCCACCTCCTGGGCTTGAGCCATCCTCCCACCTCAGCCTCCTGAGTAATTGGAACTACAGATGCACACCTTACACCCAGCAATTTTTAAACATTTTTTTTTTTTTTGTAGAGGTGAGGATCTCACTATGTTGCCCAGGCTGGTCTCAAACTCTTGCCCTCAAGTGATCCTCCTGCCTCAGCCTCCCAAAGGGCTGGGATTATAGGCATAAGTCACACTGCTCAGCCCAGGATCACTTTCTGATAGACTCAGCAAGTTCCCTTAGTTTGGACTGCCAGGCTTAGAGGCTTCTGGAAAGGGGACGGGGATGTTCTCAGATTCTCCCACAGGACTCTCCTCCTCCATCTGGGGCCTCGGCTGGCATTCTACACTCTGCCAAGAAGTGGCAGGGAACTAGTCATTTTCTGCTGAAAACTGTGGGCAGTGGAGCTGGCTGGACCCAGGAGGGGTCAGCCATGCCTCTTCCCCTCCCCAAGGCACAAAAGAGGGACTCAAAAGTGGCTTTATATTTTAAAAAACTTTTCTTTATTAGGTTACTGACTATTACCAACCATCATAAAATAGAACAGGAGTTTCAAAACGGTACAAGCCACAAGGCTCTGGGCTGAAGGACAGAAGGGCAGAGTTGAGGGTCCCAGGGCATGGGGAGAGCTTAAGAGTCAGCCAGCGTCCCTGGGGACGGCTGGGTCAAGGCCATAGCTGGGGTCTGTACAAGTGAAACATTCATCCAAACATGACCCACCTGAAGCAGGAGAAAGGAAACTCTTCACAAGCCCTGCAGGTGAGGTCCCTGTCTTAATAAGCAGAAAACCCTCAAAATAATAAGGGGGCAATTTACATTCCTTACCTGGTCTTGGCACCAATTTTGTGCTTTAAAAAATATACTCCACTGGAAGATTTTTTTTAAAAAAGGTACCCTACAGCAGCTGTTTAAAACATAATTCTTACAGACAAATATACATATATATGTATGTATGTATATATATTAAACATTTTAAACAAATAAAGTCATCTTTTGTACCTGTGCAGAAATGAACCGAAGTCAGTCTCAAAGACAGTGGACTTCAGGATCAAAGAAATGGCGAAGGTGGTGGTAGGGCCAGGTATGCTACGTGGGGGAGCAGCTGGGACAGGTCACCCCCTCCTGCTGGCGGCCCCGTGCCGCCCCTCTCAAGGCTCTGAGGAGGGTTGAGGTGAACTAGGGCTGCTCCCCTGGGCTTGGGCAGGGGTGCTGAGCAGAGACCCACGCTGGTTCTTCCGAGGCTCGACTCTGCTCCAGGTCTCCCCCATCCCGCCCTGCCCCTGGCTTCTAGGTGATGGAGACCCACTCACCCCGCCTTTTTAGTTCTGGGGTTCCTCCAGCACACCCAGGGCTTCTGAGGATGCACTTGGGAGATCTCGGCCAGAAAAGCAAAAGCAAAATGAAACCCACACCAGAAAACCCACAGAAGACTAAACAGACACAGCCACCTGTAGACGTATGAGCCTGAGAGGTAAGTGGTGACCTGAGGCTCCAGGAGCGGTGCCGCGGCCCCTCCAGACCAGGCTCCTGAAAACACCCATATGCACATGGGTGCATTCTCTGCAAGGAGCTGCTCGGCGACTTGGAGCAGTGACCCCTGGAAACTGCAGGTCAAGGGACCCAAACAAAGACACCCTAGTGCCCGTGCACATGTGCCACAGATGTGGCCCGGGGATCACGGGTGAGGCACACACACCCCAGAGAGGGCACGGGTGCGAAGAAAGCAACGGAACATGTCAGAGAGAGGTGACTGCAACAAGGTTTCCTTTCTAGATGGAATAAATAAATGGCTTTTGTTACTGTTCAAAGAATAAATACAGGGTCAGGGGCCCCAGCGGCCGGGGGCGATGCCGGGTACATATCTGCCCGCAGGAGGTCCGATCGTGGTCTGCCTTGGTGTCTGTGGTGAGTTTTTGGTGTCCTGAGCTGCATCTGCCGTGACACGGCCACCCGTGGCCTGTCACCAGCCCCCGTCTGAGCACCTCTTAGCACTCCTGATGTTTGCTCTCTGAGCTGTGGCACTACCCACCGGGCTCACCGCCCTGGGACCCCTAGGTGGCTGCAGCCTTCTCCCTGCGAGGAGCACCCATTCCCAGCCCTCCCCACCCCTGCCCCAGAGCAGATTGGAGCTTGGTGTAGAGTTCGTGGGAGTTTATTCTCTGTGTCTTTTTCAAGGAGGGGCTGTGTATGGCATGCAGGGACACTGCCTTCTCCCACTGTTGGGCAGGGACATGAGGCGCCCGTGTCAGAATCAGTCCTTGTCCAGCGGAGGTGGCCAGGGAGGGTGAAGAGGACGCTCAGGCCTTCTGCCCACGGCTGCGGACACCAGTCCGAGGAGTGGGGTGTGGCGACCCTGCGGCGGGCGGCTCAGTGAGGTGGTACCGGGCGACTGTTGCACTGGTGGTCCTGGGGTGGGCGTCACTGATAGAGGAGGTAGGCCTTGAGGGAGGCGGGCAGTGGCAGCGTGTGGATCGCCCCCAGGCGCTCCTTCCCCAGGGCCAGGCGCACCGAGCGACGGCAGAGATCCATGAGCGGCAGGGGCTCAGCTGCAGAGAGCAAGGAGAGAAGGGCCGGTCAGCACAGCTCGGAAGCTTCCAGAGCAGACGGCGCTCACCACAGGGGTAGGATGAGCACCAACTAGCATTCATCCTAAGACCTACATAAATAATGAAAAATGCACTCCTTCAATTTTTCCTATTAAATTCATGTCAACAGCTGACACAGAAAACCCGGGGGGCTAGGCGCCTTGAAAGCCCTCCGCAGACACAAGCTCTTTTAATCCCCACACGGTTTCTTGTGAATGAGTTAACAGTCACGGAGACATACCATTACCATCATACCCATTTCACAGATGTGGAAATTGAGGGACAGAGTTGAAATCGCTCGCCCAGGGTTGCCCCACTGGTAGAAGATGGAGCTCGGATGTGAACCCAGGCCATTTTGCTCTTCATCGGCCTGTCTGGACGAGCAGCTGCCTTCAGGGTGCACTGGTCTAGGCCTGTGGGAGCAGCCCTCCCCGGCACACACCCCTGGCACTGGACCCCCTGTGGGCATCAGTAAGGGAATCACTTTGTGTCCCCAACTGCTCTTGGTGCTGTTGTCTTCTCTGTTTGACAGCTGAGGACATCCAGGCACACAGCAGGAACCTAATGTCCCAGAGTTGGGGCTGGGGCCCAGGTCCAGCGTCCGTATCCTTAGCCACAGAGCACATTGTGAATGAAGACAGGAGAAACCCTGGTCATGAGTCACCAGTGACAGGCCCGCTGGCCCCATAGACTGAAGGTGTCACATGTGTGTCGCTCAGGTCCCTGTGCTTGTGTCTGCCTGAACAGCGAAGTCTGAAGCTGAAGGCCAAACCCAGGCGAGGGAAGCTGGAAAGGCCAGCCCAGCCACTGCGGAACCCGAGGGCTGCCTGGACGCCCTCCCCCAGCTGCTTCAAGAGGGCTGCCTCAGGTCTTGGGTAGGGACCTTCTAGCTGCCGTCCCGAGAGCCCGGCTCTGCCTTCCTACAAAGGAGGCTCTGTTCACTCAGCTGCAGCTCAGGCTAGCTGGGCTCCAGATCTCAGGAGTGAAAATCACACTCTCCAAAGTCTCTGAGCGCTGGGAGGCAGCCGGGGCACCGAGGGCCCTGCTCACTGCTACCCAGAGCTGCCCTGTCTGCTGTCTTCCCTGAAACCAGGTACAGGTGGCTTCACTCATGGTCTCCCCTTGGCTTTGAGACTCCTCTGCAAGCAAAATAAAATCAGACCAAAATGTTAAAAAACCCCCACAAAACCCCATTCCACCAGTAAAAAGTGGACTTTAATATTCACCCATGTGTCTCAAACATATTAAAAGCAACATTAAGAACTCCATCACAGGCTGGGCGCGGTGGCTCAAGCCTATAATCCCAGCACTTTGGGAGGCTGAGGCGAGAGGATTGTTCGAGTCTGCGGGTTTGAGACCAGCCTGGGCAACATGGTGAGACCTCGTCTCTACAATAAATAAAAAAATTAGCCAGGCATGGTCGCGTGCACCTGTAGTTCCAGCTACTTGGAAGGCTGAGGCAGAAGGATTGCTGGAGCCCGGCAGGTTGACACTGGGGTGGCCGTGAGCGTGCCACTCTACTCCAGCCTAGGCGACAGAGTAAGACTCCAACTCAAAAAAAAAAAAAAAAAGAAGAAGAACTCCATCACTGAAGACTAAATTCTATGGCTGGGGTGGGGGAAACAGAGAGACTACTGATGGGTATGGGTTCTTTCTGGGTGATGAAAATGTTCTAGAATGTGTTGTGGTAATGGGTACACAGCTGTATGAGAGCCCCACTGAGCTGGACACTCTCAATGGGTGAATTGTTTAGCAAGTGAATTGTAGCTCAGTAAAGTTGTTAATAAAAAAAAAAAGAAGAGGCCGGGCACAGTGGCTCACACCTGTGATCCCAGCACTTTGGGAGGCAGAGGCAAGACGATTGCCTGAGCTAAGGGGTTCGGGACCAGCCTGGGCAACATGACGAGACCTCATCTCTACAATAAATCAAAAATTGCCAGGTGTGGTGGCACACACTTGAGGTTCCAGCTACTTGGAAGGCTGAGGCGGAAGGATCAGCAGGTTGGAGAGGAAGGAGCCTAGCAGGTTGAGGCTGTGGTGGCTGTGAGTATTCCACTGCACTCCAGCCTGGGCGACAGAGTGAGACTCCGACTCCAAAAAAAAAAGGAGGAAGACGAAGCAGTCTCAGGCTGGATAACACAATGACGACATCCCAGGTTTTAAAAGAAAAAGGGCCACTCCTCTTCACTTCCCATGGGCAGTAGCTGTCATGGCTAGTGCAGAAGGAAGTAAAAAGGTGAACTCTGACATGGGGTCTTTCCTTGTCCTTAAGACAGGAGGCAGGAGGAAGAGGAAAGTCCTGTAGGGGCAAGAATCCCACAGGTCCCCAGCAGAGAGGGTAGGGCTGCACCCGCTCAGTGCTGGGCCCCCTCAGTAAAGTGGCCCACCCAGCCCTGGCTCCTCACTCCCGACCTGCTCAGCAGCCTGACCTAGAGCAGATCCCATCCTCTGCCCCTGCCTTAGTCTCCCCATTTATAAAACGAGGAATCCAGATTCTCCCCAAAGCCCCATCCAGCTGAGATCCTGAAGGCCAGAATCGTTCATTGTGGCTCCTGGCCTGGGCGCGGCTGTGGAGAATTGGCCCTTCGCTCCACGGCAAGTGGGCTGGACTCCTTCTTCTCTGCTCAGGAGCTCTCTTGCCAGTGGCCCTCATCAGGGCCAAAGGGACTGCCTGATCTGCCCCGGCTCCCTCCCTGGAGGAGTCAGGGGAAGGCACTTGGGAAAACATCAAGAGCCATTGAATGTGGCCCAAGGGCCCTGCCAGGCTGTGGCAGGGAGGGCTGAGAGGGAGTTCCCATCACCCCGCTCTTGGCTCAATGGGTTTCAGGTCAACGCACGAGTTTCTAAGAAGCAGAGGCCTGAACAAGCCCCCAGATCCCTCAGCTCCCTTATTTCAGGTGGCTAAGATTGCAGTTACGGCCTGCAGAGCACCAGTTGTGCACCTGTAGGGGACTGCGGTCCCCACCTCCAGATAGGGAGTGGACTTGGGAAGGTGAGAGTCGAAGACCAAGGCCTGCGAGCCGAGAACTCCAAAGGGATGAGGCCTCCAGTGACCTCGTTCCACTCCCTGTGAAGAGGAGCTGGGTGGCAGGGACCACTTTCAGATCACCCAGCCAGGCATGGGTCGTGGGATCTTCCAAGATGAGTCAAGAAGTGGCAGCCAATGGCCACCCAGAGTCACCGGGGTATCCTATGGATGGGTCTATGAAGCCTGACAATTAAGTTTGCAAACTCATCCTAGAAAAATGGTACATATCTCATTGCTGAATATCACTATATGGACACCTTTGAAGTACTCCCCTTGGAAAACTGTGTACTGATGCCAGTGCCTGGTTCACCTGTCGAAGCAATTTTGGAACTCTTTTTCTGGAATGGCCATTAGAGCTGTCCCATATTACCCTTGATGTCCTAAATGTCATCAAATGTCTTCCTTCCAATATTTCCTTTATCTTTGGACAAAGAAAAATGTCAGTGTAGGCCAGATCAGGTGAGTGGGGAGGGTGTTCCAATATAGTTATTTGTTCAGTGCTGCCAATGTACACGCATGGTGGCAAGTTCGTGAACTTAATCATCAGACCTCCACAAGTAATGACAACAGCTCTGACGGCCATTCCAGAAAGAATTCCAAAACTACTTTGATGGGTGGACCAGGCACTGGCGTCAGTGCATAGCTTCCCAAGGAGAGTCCTTTGAAGGTGGCTGTAATGATATTCAGCGACCAGGTAGGTAGCATTTTTTCTAGGATGGTTGGTGAACCTAATTGTTGGACCTTGCATTCTCTGGGACACGCCCAGTCACGCCTCCTTGGTCTTGTAGGAGGAAAGTGATGGTACACAACACTTTCCTCCTACAAGGGGCATGGTCTGATTGCTTTTCAAAGGTTAGGCAGAGACGAAGAATGCACCAGCCAGAGAAACAGATGTGGGCCCTGTGCCAATTTCAGATGGCCACGACCAGGACCCAAGCAAGGCTCTCCCACCTCAATACTCTTGACAGAGGCTTCAGGCTTTGCACCCACAAGCCCAAGTGCCCCCTGGAATGCCACCTAGATGGTGGGCACCTGTTCCGTTGTCCAGGGCCTCTGGCAGCCATGCCCATCCCCTGGAAGGCTGGGCACTCATTCATTTAAATAACTGATGTGAATGGGAGAGGGTGACACTGAATGCACAGCAAAGAAATCAGGAAGTATATCGGGTGCTATTTCTGGGAGCAGAAAGTTGAGAAACTGGAAGAGCCATGCGCTAACTTCTGTGTTTCTGTAAGAAGCAGCTACCTGGAGGCCTGTGTGAACACGTGTGGCCCCAGGGCCCTGACCCATGACACTCGCAGTTTTCTGGAGATTTCAGTCCAACTTGAGCCTCAAGAGCACAGCACTGTGCCTGGTTCATGGAACAAATGAATGAGCTGCAGGCCTGCGAGGTCGGGGAAAAACCCTGGATCAGGAAACGCCCTGGATTCTTCGATGTCTGCGCGATCATGGCTCCTGTGGTTTGCAGGGAAAATGCTCCATGAAATGGATTCTAGAATGTCGTGAGGAGAGTGGCCATCATGGGATGCGTGTGTGTTTTCCCTTTACCTTAAGATGTTCTTATAAAAAAGAAGAGCCAAACAAAACCTCAACCTTTGTCCTTGTCAACTAAGGAAGGACACCTGAGATCCGTCCAGGTGATACAGGCACCCTGGCTTCCCTTCCCCTGGCTCTGAAAGCATGTGGTCCTCATATGACCAGCCTTTTGGGGGAAGGATCCAGAACAGCTCTTCCCCCTTAATAAGGTCTCGTCCCCAGAAGAATGCCCCTGGCCAGGGAGAGGGGGAGCAACCAGTGTCTTCGATGCCATCTCTACTCTTGCTCCCCAGGAAAGACAGCAAGGGTGACACAGCAGCCTCTCTGGTTGTAGCCTCAGCACCAGAGGCTTCGGGCCTTGAGGAGGAATCTGGGTAAGAGGCCCATGGTCAGAGCTGACTGGACAGCGGAGAGGTAGCACAGGGAAACATTGAGAGCTCACTGCCTTTGCCTCTAGCCCCAGGCCCCGGCATGGCCGTGGGGACTCTGCTGGGACAGGAAGCTCTGGCCAGGTCTGCCTGGTATGCAGGGGATGGTGGCTGAGGGAACTCTGGGAGGTGCACATGATGGGCGACTGGGTGACTTGCTCCATAAACAGCTGCTGAGGCTGGACCTTGGTGTGTGTGGGGGTGCCAGTGACTTTCCAGGTGTCCCAGGGTGTAGTACCACTTCCAAGAGGGTGACAGCAAAACCCCGAAATCAGGCCTGATGCCAAGAAGACAGATGCAGTCAGACCTGGCCAGAGCTTCTTGTCATGCCCTGCTCCCTAAGTGGATCCTGGGATTCAGTCTCCCCATGACATCCTTAGCTGCCTTCACTTTAGGTGACCTACAGCCTTACCAGACAGGTACCCCACTGTCTTGGCATGATGTACGAGGAGGGAGTGCCAAGCTGGCCTGTCACTCCCTGCAGGCAGTAGCATGAGGAGAGGAAGGCCTCATGGGTCGGTCTCCACTCACTGTCTCCACTCACGTTCCTTGGAACCTCAGGATGTAGCCTTCCTTGGAGCTAGGGTCTTTGCAGATGCACCAGTTACTGGATGAGGGTGGGCCCCAAACCCAATGGCTGTGTCCTTTTAGGAAGAGGAGAGGACACAGGGACACACGAGGGGACCAGGCCACATGAAGACAGAGGCAGAGACTGAGGGACGCCAAGGATGGCTGCAGCCACCAGAAGCAAGGGAGGGACCCCAGAGGGATCTCCCACCAGAGCCGGGGAGAGAGCCAATCCTGCTGACATCCCGATTTTGGACATCTGCCTCCTGAACTGCGAGAGAACACAGTTCTGTTGTTTTAAGCTACCCTGTTCATGGCCAACTGTTACAGCAGCCCTGGAAAACGAACATGCCCTCCTTCACCCTTCCTCTTCCTCTCTTAAACCAGACACTCCATCAGGCTCCACCCCCTCTGCCACCACCCAGTGACTCCTGACAAAGTCATCAGTGACCCCCTGTAGCCGAAGCTGATGACAATTCTCAGCCATCAATGTACGTGACCTCTGTACTTTGCCCATCTTGAGGCCCCTTCTTCACTTGGCACCCAGGGTACCTCTGTCCGGAGTCGCCTCAGCCCCATGGCCATCCTCCTCTGCTTCTTCCTTGGCCTCCTGACCTCTAATCAAGTCTCGGCCTCAGCTCTCTTGTCTTCCCACCCCCGCTCCCTCCATGACCTCATCCAGGGTTGCAGCTCTAAAAGCCCCCAGGAGTGGATGACTCCCCCGGTGACCAGGGTCCCAGCCTCTAGGCTTGTAGATCCCCAGATGTGTTAAAGAAGCAGCTCAAATGTAACCTCTGCCCCAGCCTGCTCCTCCCTGGGCTTCCTGTCTCGGCGGACGGCAGCCCCGTGTTCCCACCAGCACCGTGATGCTTCCTTTTCTCATCTCATCCACAGACTGCACCTTCAAAGAGTCCCAGGAGCTACCACCTCTCACCCCTCCACGGCTCCCATCCTGGCTCAAGCCCCTGTCATCTCCCACCATGGTTCCCCAAGGCTACTCCTACTTTATCCCCCATTTCTACAGAGCAGCCAGAGTGAGCCTTCTGTGACACGGGACGCCCCTCAATAAAGGCCCCAAGGTGTCGGTTTAAGCAGGTTAAGGTGGCAGTTCTAACATGGCACCTCATGCTACCCCCACCCTGCTGTGGGGCTGATCAGTCACCACTCTCGGAGGTCTGCTCGGTATCCCAGGAACTGACCACATCTGTTTTCCGACTGGGATCCTTCAAAGCTGACCGGCCGTGTGGAGCGGGGCCCATCCATGCCGGGCCAGGCCTGGAGAAGACGGGAATCCAAGGGCTGGCACTGCCTGCCACTATGATTCTGGTGGAGAGGGAGGGGAGGGGTCTTCGGCACTGACCAAGTGTGTCCTGATGTGACACTTCAAGTCTCTTTCCAGGTTCCAGCTCACAGATACAGTTCCCAGCAACTTATTCCCATTCTCATGCCCCGCCCTCTGCTCCTCCAGTGCCTTTGAAATTTTCCAAGCAAGAAAAATTACGAAAGCATCCAACTTCCCATCTGCTGCAATGCTAACTAAGCAGGGGTCACCTATTCACAGGAAATTCGACCGGGCCTCCAGGACTATTTGGGCAGGACTCTCTGAGGAAGCCGGGCCCCGACCTGCCAAGGGCACAGGCCCCCAGCCCTCTTGGCCGCTCCAGAGGCCTGTGGTCTGCATTGGAGCTGGGATACATGGATGAGGAAGCTGTGCAAACTGGCAGAGCTCATGTGGAGGGGACAGTTCTAGACACTTTCATGGAGGTCTCTGGGAAGCCAGGTGACAAGGGCAGGCCTGGCAACCCCCTCACCTGTCTGTCTACACAGAACGGATATTAACTTCCCCGCCTCCATGAGCACCCCTCTGCCGGAAGGAAGAAGGCAGGGCCGAGGCCAGGGCTCCCCAAGATTCCAGGGCCTGGGCAGGATGTGTCTAGGGTTTTCAATTGCCACCTACACCCTTGAGGTAAATTTGACTTAGTGCCACCCATTTCTGTCACCTGGGGAGATGGACTCATAGTGCTCGCTTTGCTGGTGCCCTCATCCAGGTGTGAGGTTATTTCCTCAGGAGGCTACCTGCTGGATGCATATCTGGCCACCCCTGCTCAGGAGTTCCATGACCCAGGGGTGCGGGGCTGCACAGGTAGAGACCGAACAGCCCTGGGAGCCTGCACTGCAGATGCTCCATCCAGCTGTGGGTCATTGCCAATACCCAGTCAAGGCCAGAGAAGAGGATGGAGAGAAAGAGGGGCAGTGGAGGCTTCCAAAGAGAAATGTGGAGGAGGAGGAGAACAAGACAAGGACTGGGTGCGGAGGCTGTCATTCCAGCACTTTGGGGTGGAGGCGAGAGGATTGCCTGAGCACAGGGTACGAGACCAGCCTGGGAGTGGTGGCGCATGCCTGTGGTTCCAGCTACTGGGAAGGCTAAGGCGGAAGGATTGCCTGAGCCCAGCTGGTCGAGGCTGTGTTGTGCCACTGCACTCCATTCTGGGAGACAGAGTGAGACTCAGACGAAAAAAAAAAAAAAAAGGACAAGGAGGATGAAGACAAGGACTCAGAGAAGCTGCAGGTTTGGATAATGCAAGACAGAGTCGGCATCTGTTCTTCTGAACCCCAGTGGGGGCCTCCACCCCTGCTCCCCTGGCCTGCAGGGTAGGGTCATAACTCAGAGTACCAGGCCAAGCCCACTCCTTAGAGCCAGTCAGGTCACAGGCGGACAGGGCTTTCTTGCCACCCCTTCCCAAGGTAGGGTCTGCAGGAAGTGGAAGGAACAGGCTCCAGGAGCAAGGGCCACACATGGGGGGGGGGAGTTCTGGAATGCCAGGACATCCTGCCACCACGGGCTCCCGGTCATGCAGCCACGGAACTCTTGCCCTCCCACACCAACACAGTAGCCACACGTAGGCTATTTCACACACAGTACGAGAAAGGCCACTCCCTCTTCCAAAGGGACAGGTGGAAATTGCTGCTGACTCAGCCTGTTTCTAATCCACGTGCTTCTCCGTCTCCTGATACCACGCCATGTCCCAAAGGAGCTTCCTAACATTACACCATGTTCTAAAGGAGCCTCAGCTCAGAAGTCTCCAGCAGCAGGAGAGAAAGACCTGAACCTGTCTAGTGGGTAAGCGTCACTGGGTTTTATTGACCTAATATCCCCAAGGCGGCAAACCCCATCTCATTAATATACTGGTTGCCTGGGCTAGAATTTGGTCAACTGCAGATCAGACCCAGAAGCAGTTCAACTAGAGACAAAGACCACCATCCATTTAGTCATCCATCCATCCATTCATCCATTCATTCACCATCCATTCATGCTCATCATCCATCATCCATCTATCATCCATTCATTCATGAGGCAATGCTAGGTAATCTAGCAGACTCCAGTTAGAATTTGTCACGTAACCACATACAGGCAAAAGTTGCCTCCAAGGGCCTGAATGTACTGGGTACCTACTTAAAGGCACATTAACAACAATGGCTATATAAACCTTTGGTCCTATCCCCAGCCAGGACCATGGGAAAATGGGGAGGGCGTTGCCTTGGACAATGCGGGGGATACTTACGATCAAGTCCGTTCAAGTAGCGCATGCGGATTTCACAGTGGCCCCAGACGGCACTCACTACAGGATACAGTTTTTTGCCCTTGAGTCCCCGAAAAGCCACTCCCATGTACTGTCCATCCACAATGAAACTCAGGGTCCCGTCATCCATGTCCAGAGCCACGAGGAAGGAGTCAGGGACGATGAACGTCTCGTCTGGTTCCAGAAAGGCCGGGTACGTCTTGCTCGGCTGGTTCTTGCCATCATGGTAGAGCCGGTTGCGCCCCAAGTCCCAGCCCCAGGACTCATGGTTATTCCCCACAAGGGTCGTGTACCCCACAGAGTGTAGGGGGGCGTCCGCTGTTGCCACTCCCACCACGGCGTGCGTGCCACGCTGCCTCATGGCCCATGTGATCTGCCACACATGCAGCCCACGCGTGTACCCGACTTTGCCCCTGATAGCGTCTGTGCTCTGGGCCACCGGATGCCGGTGAAAGATGAGCTTGTCGTCCTCCTTCACGAAGACGTTAAGTGAGCGGTCATTGTTGTTCCAAGAGTGGAGCAGCTGGATGTCGTAGGACACGGGGGGCATGTCCAGCAGCAGGTCCAGCCGGGTGGGCTTGCAGTAATCCAGACCCTGGAGTTCCTGCTTCAGGGGCCGGTACGTGGGGTCCCTCATGTCCACAGTCTTGATGCCTCCGGTGACCTTCTGACCCATGGTCGCCTTGCTTTCACCTCCTTGCCGACTCCCAAAGCAAACTCATCAATCTCGGGGCCTTGGCTCCAGCTTCCTAATCAGGGCCAGACAGAATTCCTAAGGAGGGTTGCTAGGAGACCTCTGCAAGTTGTGGAGCATTCAGGATTGCCTAATGGATGGAAAGAAAAACAGGAGCCGGTGAGCAGGGCTGCAGGCCGGAGGGAAAGTTAACCAGGAGGGCGGGCGGCCGCACCAACACACCCCACAGCCTGCGCCCGTCACACCCAACATGGGCAGGCCAGAGCCTTGGCACAGAATAAAGTCCTCCCTGTCCCCGTGGCTGTGATGTCACAAAGGAAAGGGGTTGTCTGTCCGCCCAGCCGTCTGCACAGACAGGTGGGCTTGGGGGCCGGGCACCACTCCCCGCTGTGTTGGGTGCAGTCTGGGATGCGCGGCTGATGCCCACCAAATCCTAATCAGCATTTCTCAGGGTAGAAGGCCACAGTGCACAGATGCTGGAATCAGCCTCGACGCAGTGGGCATTTTTTTCTTCAAAACCAAGGGAGCAGATGGCCCCTGCCTTGCTGTTCAGAGGGGAAGTGGAGGCTCAGCAGTAGCACAGGCTGTGGAAGATGAAAATCCTGGCTCCTGTCTCTCTTTCTGGCATAGCTGCCCCAACACACGTATCCCCAATTCACTCTAGGGAAGGGCATGCTGGCATAGACAGACAGCTTGACTTGGTTGGGGGGGGGTCTGTGTACAAACGGAGGAAAGGGTCCTAGGACACTTCTCTAGCCCCTGGGCAGGTTCCAACTCAGGTGGCAATTCAGGGGGCTCTCACCCCTTGGTCCCCGGGGAGTTCTGGACCGACACTTAGGTGACCAACCAGCTGTTTCTCCTGCAGATACCCTCCAACCAGAAGCCAATGCATTACCTCCCTGTGGGTCCCAATAGCCCGTCTGGGGAGGATGTCTGACTCTGAGACGTCTCAGTTCCTCTGGCTCCACTGTCCCCTGGTTCCTTTAGGGAGAATGGGGCCTCACTGCATCTGTCCCTGTCCTCTGCATCGGCGGCCCAGGAGGAATTCTGCCTGAGAAGGAGGAGGGGCTGAAGACTTGGGCCTCCCTCTAGAGAAAACTTTCCCTCTGCCACCAGAAAGCTCCATGGCCTCCAGAAGGGACTGGAGAAGCCAGGCAGAAAAGCCTGGTCTGAGCTGGGCTCGGTGGCTCAGCCTGTAATCCCGCGCCTTTGGGAGGCTGAGGTGAGTGGATTGCCTGAGCCCGCGGGTTCGAGACCCGCCTGGGCAGCGAGACCTCATCTCTACAATAAATCAAAAAAAAAAAAAAAATCAGCCAGGCGTGGTAGCGCGTGCCTGTAATTCCGGCTACTCGGAAGGCTGAGGCGGAAGGATCGTCGGAGCCCAGCAGGTCGAGGCTGCGGTGGCCGGAAGCGGCCACTGCACTCCAGTCTGGGCAACAGAGTGAGACTCCAACTCAAAAAAAAAAAAAAAGAAAAGCCTGGTCTGGGGACTGGCTCCTAAGACGGATCAGCCTAGGAAGGGAGGCTCCTGGCTGAAGAAACGTAACTGGGCAAACGTGAGGAGGAGCCTGGGTGGGAGACCACTGCAGCCTCAGTTGCAGGGAAAAGCATCACGTTCTAAGGTGCTCGAGTAAAGGGGACAAAGAGAGCACACAGAAACACGGGGCGGGGGAGGTCACGGGCTCCCAGACACAGGGAAATCTGGTGACCTCACGCCACATTCGGTGCAGGACCAGCAGGGGTCAGCTCTGACTTCGAGAGCCCTCTCGGACCAGCCTTCTAGGTCCCTGGGGCCGACCTGGAGCTGCCTCCCTGCCAGCTGGGAAGACACACTATGAGGCAACGTCTTCATAGTGCCAGGCCCCTGGAAGCCTGGCTCTGGTTGAACATTCCCATGTGGGAACACCTGGCGCCCTGATCCCCTCATTTCCATGGGCAGATCACGCTTCCCACCCGCCCCTTTTGGCTGTGAGACAGAGGGTTCCCTGATCTCAGAGGCACAGTCGTCTCTTCAGAGGCAAACTACGGACACCTGCAAAGCTGGCACAGAGCCAAGGTGTCCCTCTGCAGTGGGGGGGCTGCCCTGGTTCTGGAAAGTTCTGTGGATACTGTGATCCCACGTCCTGGATCTCCTGGAAAATTCCTGTTTCAAGCTTTCAGGCCCATCTCCTCTCCTGGGAGTCACTCTGGGTCCCTGCTGGGGGGATGCGAGAGGGCCTGGGGTTCGGTGTGGTTCCGCCACACCCTTCCCCGAACTCTCGCCCTCCACTCCTTCCCAGCCTCCATTCGAGGCTCTTTCTGAGCTGCAGAAAGGTGGGGGCTCTCAAAGTCCAAGTTGCATGGAGTGAGGCATAGACGTGCCCTCACCTGTCTCTGCGTGAACGCCCCAGGCAGCTTGGTGCCCATGGCTGCTCCGTGTTCTCAGTTCTCGTGGGGACAGAGGTCAGCCTCCTGGGAGGATAAGGAGGGAACTCACTTTCTAAGAGACTGCATGTTATGGCTTCCTGCGGCAAAGCGACTCATGGCCCCTCACGGCCCCTCACCAGCTCTCTTGGCAAGGCAGGAGCCACCTTTCTCCTGGGGTTTCAACTGTCACGGAAGACCCGCCCTCTCTCCACGCACAGGAACAGGTGGGAAGAGTGAGGAAGAGACTGGGAGAGGGTGGGGGCAGGGGGAGAGGAAGGC